GAATTTGGATTAGTTGAACAGAAAATATTAATACCCTCTATTTTCCAGAGGCTGAATTATGAAATAAAAAAAATCATTATTCAATTTAATGGCAATCTATCACTAAGTTGTAAAAATAATTAAATAATATTTTAACCAATATAACAAATGATTCAATTTTAAAACGTTAATATACACACGCGGAGAGACACATTTTTTTTAATCTGTATTTCCCGCAAAGGTAGGCTTTAGTATAAATCGCACTCATTTTTCTTTTTAAGGGAGGCAAATTCTATCACTGGTGGGAATACAATGGAACTATTCCCTATTAGGAAGACCAAGACGATGCTGTAATGACCACGAAATGGAGGGGGTTCTAAACGATTTTTTTTTTAAAAAAAATATTTAGTAATAAAATATTATAATATTTTAAAAATGTATGTGATGAAAAAGTGTAATTGGAAATTAAGTAGGTTGAAGAGAAGTAAAAGTAATAATGAAAGTGCGGGTTGAGAGGCCTTGGGGTGTACTTGTTGCAGGCTGGAACTCACCTATTGCTCAACTTGACCACTGCATCTATGATCTATCGTACGTTCTTTTAATTTAGGTTTGAATTCTACGTAATATGATTCATGGTAATTAAATTCCATAGAGATTTAAAAAATTGATGGTGAAACTTACCCAAGCTTTAGGTCTTGCCATTTCTATCCCCACCCCGCGGGGCGGGGCAACTGACCATGCAGCAGTGAAAGGAATCTGAGAGAGCTTTGTTTCACTATTCTGATCAACAATTTTTGACGGTTGATTATATTTGATTTTAAAACGACATTGTTTTGAGTGAAAAAATAAAGGATTAAATGAAAAATTTGTTATTAAACTTCAAGTGTCAACTTTAAATGTATGTTTAGTGTAATATTTTTCTTTTAACATTTAAAACTGTGTGATATTGTTCCTAGCATTATTAAATATTAACTTTAACTAGTAATTGAAGAAAAATTATATCAAAAGATTGAGAAAATTATAAAAAGTGATCATATAAAAAATTAATTTTATACTTTTTGGTCCTTCTTTGTAATTTTAAGTTTTTTGTCATTTTTTAATTAATTAACATTAAAGTTAGCATTTGTTAACTATAGGACAATGTTACATGGTCTTAAAATGCTGAAAAAACAAGATTATATTAAAAATAAGTTTAAAATCACATACATTCATTTAAGAGCAAATTTACACTATTGCAAAAAAAAACAGAGAGAAAAATTTACCCTTTAATCTAAAATGAAAAATAGCAATTCATCAATTTATTCTTTAATAACTCCATTTTATTAGATTATGTATAGTCTATATACAATTAAATACTGGTATGTCTTGACTGATTCAATAACTTGCTAAGGTTGTTAGTGTCTTACATTTCACTTTCTATTGTGATATGTTTTAAAAATTAATGAAACAGGGCTAAGAAAAAAAATAATTAAACAAGGAGAAGAATATTATTAAAAATAATAATTTTTAATAAAAGATATTAATATTATTATTATATATTATTATTATTATTATATTATTATTATTATTATTTATATTATTATTATTATAAATAAGGTATTCAAACACTGGTTTTTTTTTCTTGGGAGCTTCCTATATTAAAAATGGATACATCACCAGGAAAACATCTGGGCCATTCAGATTTAATCTGGATGGCTCAAATTTTTCAATTTAATTTTAATTTTATATTTATAAAAATAAAAATTTTTAAATTTTCGATAAATATATTCATTATTAATCTTGATAGTATTGATTTAATTTAGATGGTTTAATTTTAATAATATAATTTTTATAAATAAACTATCTAGATGTACTCTGGACAATCCAAATTCAATATTAAATTTTTATTCTAGATTTAAATTTTTCATTTCATTTTTATTTTTATTTTTATTTTATTTTTATTAAAATAAAAATTATTAAAAATTTAATAGTGAACCTGTCTTGTTCAAAGTACATCTAAATAGTCAGTTATAAAAATTATAATATTAAATTGAACCATCGAAAATCTCAAATTGAATCAATACTATTCAAATTAATGATAAATTTATTTGTAAAAAGGTATAAATTTATTTTTATAAAATATAAATTAAAATTGAAATTAAAATAAAAAAATTTAGACTGTCTAAATTTTTAATTTGTATGGCTCAAATGTTTTCTCGATGATGAGCACCTTCATGCTTAGGGAGCTGCTGAACACCGGAACCAAACCAGATCCTATTGAAAATGCAGTGCCTGTCTCCAGCACTTAATTCGGGTCATAGAAGTCGGTTGACAACATTCGTGTCGTTACTTGCCAGTTGCCTCCTTGCGAGACTCGAACGGAACTCGATTGCAACTGTACAGTTCACCGCCAACGCGTTCCATAGCCTGCCCTTTCTTCAATCTCCCTCCAATTTTAATTCACATCACAAATTGTTTTCGCACCGTTTCAATTAATACACTTACGTTTTATTCTATTTTATTTTCATGGATTTAACTCCAACCAAATTCAACTCCACATCTCCTAAATCTACACGCAATTACATCCGTATCTGCATGCCTACTAGCCCAAATCACAATTTTGGTTGGTTGTTAGATAAACCTCCTTTTTAATGTTGTTTTTTCCAAAATAAAATCCTTCTAGAACTCAACCTAATGCCATTGAGACAGCCACTTTAGGTCATTTTAGACCTTTCGGGATGGATTCACCGTTCATTCTCCGCCTCACTCTGATTACCATATGGCTTATTCTTCATGGATTTCCTAATAAGTAATAACCCTTCCCAAGATATAATCATAAAGTTGATTAAAACCAATTCAATAATTTGTTTGAACAAATTAAATACTATAATGTTTCTGTCCAAAACACAATCTTTATACCCATATCTTTATTTTCCTATTTTTACCCCCACACACACATGTTCATGTTCCTGCCCCATCGATTAGGTACATCGAACTAAAGAAGGGTGTGACACAAGACACATTCCATAACGTAAAAAAAAAAAAAATCATTCAAGTAAATTTAGTTAATCCTTCCATAATCAAACCAAGATCAAATTTAAACCTTCCATTAAAAAAAAAAAAGGAAGACCCAAAATCATGATGATATAGAATAGAAAGAGATGTGAATCGTGAAGTGAAGCTTCCATCTCTCTTTGCCTCATGTTTCGTTCTCTTTTTTCTCTCGTGACATGAATTATCAGATCCACCCACAGAACCTAAGAAAACGCGTCTTCTTTTTTGGTTATTTACTTTGCTTCTTTAGGCCTTTCTTTGTTCCCTTGTGTCCTATATAAATACGATCTCTTCCTACCCCTCCCCTCCTCTTCACAAACCACTCACACTCTCTCTCTCTCTCTCCACTCCTCGCCAAATTCAAAAACCTTCCTCTGTCTCTGTCTCTCTCTCTCTCTAAAATGGCTCTATCTGTTTCATCGCTCTGCTTGTTCATCTTCTTCTTAGCTTCTGTCTCTCTTGCCCTCTCGGCCAGACCCAACAGTAACAGTTCTAACAGCCACTCACTTTCCCTCTCCTTCCCTCTTACTTCAATCCCTCTCTCCACAAATGTCTCTGATAGGCTTCTCTCTTCTTCTCTCCTTGCAAGTTCCCGGCCAAACCCAAAGCCGGCGGCTTCGCCTTTTAATGTCAAGTCGTCGTTTAAATACTCCATGGCTCTGATCGTCACTCTTCCTATTGGGACTCCTCCGCAGGCTCAGCAAATGGTTCTAGACACCGGAAGCCAACTCTCGTGGATTCAGTGTAACAAGAAGACTCCGGCGAAGCCTCCTACGGCGTCTTCCTTTAACCCGTCTCTCTCCTCCACTTTCTCTGTTCTCCCCTGTAACCACCCCCTGTGTAAGCCCAGAGTTCCCGATTTTACCCTGCCCACCTCCTGCGACCAGAACCGCCTCTGCCACTACTCGTACTTCTACGCCGACGGGACTTACGCTGAAGGCAATCTCGTCAGAGAAAAATTCACCTTCACTCCTTCCTCCGTCAGTACCCCTCCGCTCATCCTCGGTTGCGCCACCGAGACTAGCGACTCCAAGGGTATTTTGGGAATGAACGTCGGCCGGCTCTCCTTCGCTTCCCAGGCCAAACTCACCAAGTTCTCGTACTGCGTGCCGACCAGACAGACCCGACCCGGATATCTCCCGACCGGGTCCTTCATCCTCGGAAACAACCCGGCTTCTGCCGGCTTCCAGTACGTGCCCTTGTTGACCTTCCGTCAAAGTCAACGCATGCCGAACCTGGACCCCTTAGCCTTCACCCTGCCAATGCAGGGCATTCGAATTGGAGCAAAAAGGCTCAGCATCCTCCCCTCTGTTTTCCGTCCCAACGCAGGCGGGTCGGGTCAGACCATGATCGACTCGGGATCTGAGTTCACCTACCTGGTGGACGAGGCCTATAATAAGGTGCGGGAAGAAGTAGTGAGACTCGCAGGACCCAAGCTGAAGAAGGACTACATGTACGGCGGAGTTTCCGACATGTGCTTTGACGGCGACGCGATGGAGATCGGACGGTTGATAGGCGACATGGCGTTCGAGTTCGAGAAAGGCGTGGAGATCGTGATACCGAAAGAGCAGATTCTCGCTGACGTGGGCGGTGGGGTCAAGTGCGTCGGAGTCGGACGGTCAGACAGACTCGGCGCAGCCAGTAACATTATCGGAAACTTCCATCAACAAAATTTATGGGTAGAATTCGACCTGGCCAATCGCAGAGTAGGTTTCGGTAAGGCCGACTGTAGCCGATCGGCCAAGTAGAAACCCAAAAGCCGAAATGCCGTCATGTACAAGTGTATAACTTCAAACCATATCCCACGTGTTACCATAAGAGCGATGATCCCTGTACACGTGTCGAGTAGATCTAGAACTTGTCCTGAATCGGATGGTGGAGGGTTAAGGAGAAAAAGAAAGGCATGGGTGATGCGAAGAGTAAACGTCAATCGTTTGGGAGGTGGGGCTTGGTGTTTGGTTCTACTAATCTTATTATAAAAACGTGATGATGCATAGAAGGTGGTAATAATAATCATGTACACTATAGTTGGAGTGAGAGTGGTGTATATATGAGGACTAGTAAATATGATGATAATATATATGTGTTCATGAATCTCTCTTTTTCTAAGTCCTTTTCTTTGCGCTATGATGCAACTACGTCAAAATCTCATTTTACCCACTATTTTGCTCTTTTTTTTCTAATTTTTTTTATCTCTTTTAGAATTCCTTTCTCACACAAAAGAGTTTACCATGCCTGCTTTTGATCAATGTTCAAATTTTTAGAAGTGTTCTTGATGTGGGAAATTTTGGTCTTACCTCGTCTTCACAGGTAACGTCTCAATATTTTAAAAAAGACAACTTACTTCTTTATTGATATCTGGTTAATTTCCTTTGAACACTCCTTTATCCAAAATATAGGTTTTTCTGGGGAAAAAAGTGATGGAAACGGAAATTATTTTTTAAATGTTACTTTTGTATTTTGTTTTAGTGTATAGCAAATTTATATTGTTATACTGTTTTAATTAATTGTATTCCTGTATTTATGGCCAAAAATAAATTCTCATGTATTACTGTAATATATTAATAATTATGTTAATTTCTTATCATATTTCAATGCTTTATTCATTTATTGTGGTTTTATAATTATGTTAATAGTTATTTGATTATTTACTGTGGTATTATTGTTAATAGAGTATTTGGGCAAAAAATTGATCCATAGATGCGTTTATTTCAATAAATTATTATTTGATTGTATTTGTAATGCATTTAAAGGTAAGCTAAGTTTATTATTATTCTTGGAATTTGACATATATAGTTTTGTCCAAGAAATAAAGACATGAATATTTAAAAATACTATTATTTCATATGTTACGTTTGTTTAGTGCTTTTTTCTGTCTAAAGTCACTTCGGAGAATCACAATTAAGTATTTTACTATTTTATTAATTTACCGTCATAAGTATTTTTCTGATTAAATTAAAATGCTACTTTTTAAATTTAAAAGGATATAAACTTAAGATTTTTCTATTGATATAAAATAATGTAATTTGAATGAAATTTATTCTAATATATTTATGACATAAAGGCATGTATTGCTGGTGCAACAGATGCTTCCAGTGTACACTTGCAACTTTAGAATGACAATCTTTTATCATTAGAATTTCACAAAGAGGATATTTATCAAGGCATCCACTAGAACTGGTTGGGCTAGAGCTTGTCTCGTGATAAGTGCTCTCAAGAGAATGAGATTGAATTTAATTCTTAACAGTCCACATTTGGAGTTATTTGGAAAACAAAGGAAAAGTGGAAGAATCTAAACTTTAAAACATTTTTTATCAGTTATTATTTCCATATTTATTCGTTCTTTATTATTATTTTTTTTTATCAGACCCCATATGAACTGAAAGTCCCACTAAAATAGGCATGCATTATTCAAAATTATAAAGAATACAACTTGCTTGGTGCGAGGATGCCAGGCAGGTGAAGATGCATGGTCGCCAATGAAAGATGTAATTGTGCACCGAAAAAGAAAGATATGCTCCCTCTATTTATCAAATCTCGTTTTTAATAAAATAATTATTTATTTTTAAATTAATTTTATTTTTTATATTTTTTTTATTTAATAAGGTGTTTTATTCTAAAAAATATAGAAAGTCATTTATTTAATAGAAATGTTTTAAAAAAATAATGATTATAATTTAAAAATTAAAAATTTATAAATATTTACATTTTTAATATTCAATTTTTTTTAACAGAGGAAGTAATTTAAAAATTCTTTGTCCTTCATGTTATTGTTTCAGAGTTGAGTCTTAGTTGTATTACATAAAAATGTGAAAAACATTTTCAAAATAACTGTGAAATTATTATTAATAAAAACAATTACAAACAGCAGTGGTTTGAATCAATCCAGCAAATAGTAATATCTTCATATTTTTCAAGATATTATGTAAAGGAGTGAGAAAAAATACACTCAAATTACAAATTTGAATTTTCGATAAGTAAATAAGACTTTTTTATGGGGAAATTTAGTTGACAGGGCAAAGAAAGGGGGGGCCACGTAAAGGAATATGGGCATAGAGAGAGAAGGGATGGGTGGACGGCCGCCCGAAACACGAAAGAGTTGGCACATAATTCCCGACACTCACGTCACATCTCTCAAAACTTTGGGCGTCGTTTCATCCCTCTCACGATTCATTTCCAACTAGAAGCTTCCTCCCTTTTCTCCCTTCCACGTGGCACCCCTCTCTTTATCTATCTTTTAAGTTTTTTATTTTTTTATATAACTATTTAAATCACGGTCTCAATTAATGAACATCTTCCATGTTCACGTGTCATTTAAATTTTATAAATTCTAAATTTATTTTGTAGATTATATAAAAAATTTTAAATTATAATATTAAAATTTATTGTTTAAATTTTAAATAAAAATTTAAAATTTAAATTATATATTTAAATTTAAAAGCAACTCGGACAGCATCAATAATTTAATTTTAGTTAAAGTTGGTGGTTTGGACTGTCAACTTTTACGAAAATTGAACCATCGACACTTAGAGGGATTGAATGACAGGCTTTCATTGAAATCATACCACTAGCGATGATTAGAATCAAAAGGTTTACTTTCATCAAAACAGAACCATTAACAAGAACTAGGGCCTAACCACTTAGGCCAACTATTATATATTAAAATTAATGAACTTAGCAATTTTTAAAAAAATTCACATACTATTAATAAAAGTTAATGAGAATTGGACTCATAGCCTAGAAGATCATGGGTCCCAATCTCACCTCTTATTTGAAGCTTGTAAGCATACATTAATTCTAGTGAGTTTCTCAGATCCACTAACTTAATTTTTTTAACAAAAACAAAATTGCACACTAAAAAAATTCTCATTCACATAAAATGTGTATGTGTGTTTCATTTTACCCTTACTCTCAATTACTAGGGAACTCTATAATGCAAGGATTTGATTAATAAAAGAAGATAAAAAATGAAAAAAAAAATTACATATATCAAATTGCTTATATTTTTATTACTTTTTCTTTTATACTTGCTCGCCCCTCAAGCTTCTTTCTATACTTGGCCTCCCTCTTTCCCCTCTCCCCTCCTCCTATCCTCAGCCGTCCCCTTATTAAATATAAATAATTTAAATTAAATATTTTTATTTTTATTTTTATTTGTATTTATATGAATTTTTTATTAAATATACTCAATAATATCAATAATTTAGATTTAATATGGGTGATTTAAATTTAATATTAACTTTTTTATAATTTGAATATTAAATTTGCACTATCTAGGATATACTTGGATAATTAGTTTATAAAAAACAAACAAAATTAAATCTAATAACTAGTCTCGACAATTCAAATTTAATATACATAGTTCAAAATTTAATATTAATTTTTTTAACTTTAATAATAAATTTTTGCTATTTAAAATATATTTGGATAACTAATTTATAAAAATTATAAAAAAAATTAATATTAAATTTGGATAACTCATGTTAAAACTTGACTAGCTAAATTAGTAATGAAATATATTTATTACTTTTTTATATTTTTAATAAATATAAAAATAAATATATTTAATTTAAATGGCCCAAAATTAATAAAATGTGAAATGAAGGCTGGAGGGAATAAAAACAGGAGGGAAGCCGGGGCCCTTCTTTATATGCAAGCGAACCTTTTCAAGTTAAAATTCCAGAATATTTCACTTTTGCTTCTCCATCCATTGTATTCACTGTTCATTGTTCATTGAGCTCCCGGCTCACCATTCGAGTGTCGGTCGAAGAGGAATCTGACGACAACGACAACAATAATGCATACTTTTTTTTGTAAAAAAATATAAAATATTTTTAATTAAATATTATTTTTTAATAAAATAATTATTTATTGAAACTAATACTTTCTTTTTATATTTATCTGTATTAAATACCCTATAATAAATATAAAATTATTATTAATAGAGGCATTTAAAAAAATAATAATTACATTTTAAAAAATTAAAAATATTTTATATTTTTTAATATCTACCTCTTTAAAAAATACTACACATTATCCGAGAGAGTATAACCTTTGCGTTAGGAAAATGGTATGATTTGATAACTCAGTACGTGGTCTAACATGCCAGTATACAGCGTGAAATTTATGACAAAATATTAATAAATCATAAGCAATATTATTTAATCTTGTAAATTTATTCAATACGCAAAGTTAAATATAACTTCGTGCATTATATTAAACATGTCCAATAGAGCATAAATATAAGCTGCATACTTCTTGTTGTCTTCGTAAAAAGGACAACGGTTCCACAAATTGAGAATTGGAAATAGTTTGGGTAGAGAATTATAATTAATACTTTCAAATTTTTCAAAGTACCAGGATGGATTAAAAAAAATAAAGACAAATTATTTTTGTATTAGAGAAATATTTGACTTGTACAATATTTTACTATTAGTACTTTATAATTTTTTATTTTCATATAAACTATAATTTTTTAAAAATATTGTTTATTTTCAATTACTACATTAGACTATAATTTGTTGAATTATTTTATATTAACCCTTTGTTAATATTTATTGATATTACTTAAATAAAAATTCAACACAAAAATAAAATACTTCATTCATCCAAACTATAAGACATTCTGAGACATCTCCAAATATAAGATATTTTAATAAAAATAAAAGCTAATTAATTATAATTTTTTAATATTAATGTTTTAATTATATTCTCTTTTTGATGTTCTTTCATAATTTGAATGTTAAATAAAGAATATTTCTGAAAGTTTATATTTTTATTTTTAAAAAATAAAAATATAAAATGTATTTATTAAATTTTATTAATATAAATAATTTTATTTAAAAATATTTTATAATTTAAGACAGTAAAAGTATTTCTCGAGAACAAATATAAATGGTGACAGGACAGAGCTCGTGAAATTCTAGTGCAGGTTGTCCTTGTTATTCCTTCTCTTCTTTCTGACCTTTCGTGCACTCTAATTATTACATCTCAGATTATCACTTAAATTTACTTCCTTAATTAATTTCACGAGCTTCAATTTTCATGCCATTCCAAACTACTCGACACTCGTGTTCCTTCCATTTCAAAATATTAA